GCGGGCTGATAGGCAGAGATACGTTTGGATAGGTAACTTGGGCCAGAACCGTTTAGGGCTTTATAGGCCAACGCCAGCACTTTGAATTGAGCCCGGTAGCAAATCGGCAGCCAGTGGAGCTGGTGCAGCAGAGGAGTTGTATGCTCCCTGCGCCCCGCTCCTGTTAGTATCATGGCTGCCGCCCGTTGGACTAATTGGAGCTTCTGAGCCGTCTTCAAAGGCAACCCCACGTAGAGAGCGTTGCAGTAGTCAAGACGGGATGTAACCAGAGCGTGGACTACCGTGGCCAAGTCAGACTTCCCAAGGTACGGTCGCAGTTGGCGCACAAGTTTTAACTGTGCGAATGCTCCCCTGGTCACCGCCGAAACCTGGGTTCCAGGCTCAGCGATGAGTCCAGGATCACACCCAAACTGCGAACCTGCGTCTTCAGGGGGAGTGCGACCCCGTCTAACACAGGCTGTAACCCTATACCCTGTTCGGCCTTGCGACTAACCAGGATTACCTCTGTCTTGTCTGGATTCAATTTCAATTTGTTCGCCCCCATCCAGACCGTCACAGCGGCCAAGCACCGGTTCAGGACCTCGACAGCCTCCTTAGTAGCAGGTGGAAAGGAGTGACAGAGTTGGACATCATCTGCGTACAGATGACACCGCACCCCGAAACTCTGGATGATCTCGCCCAGCGGCTTCATGTAGATGTTAAACAACATGGGAGACAGTATTGAACCCTGAGGAACCCCACAAGACAAAGGTTGTGGGGTTGAACAGGAGTCTCCCAGTAACACCTTCTGAGACCGACCCTCGAGGAATGAGCGGAGCCACTGCAGAACAGTACCTCCAAGACCCATCCCCGCGAGGCGTCCCAGAAGGATACCGTGGTCGACGGTATCGAAGGCCGCTGAGAGGTCAAGCAGCACCAACAGGGACACACTCCCCCTGTCGAGCTCCCGACGCAGATCATCCACTAAGGCGACCAAGGCTGTCTCGGTACCATGCCCCGGTCTAAAGCCAGACTGTGCCGGGTCCAGATAATCCGTGTCTACCAAGAATGCCTGGAGTTGTGAGGCCACCACACGTTCCATGACTTTGCCCAAAAAGGGGAGATTGGAAACAGGCCGATAGTTGACGAATTGAGTGGGGTCCAGTGATGGTTTCTTCAACAGCGGTTTTATCACAGCTTGCTTTAAGCTGGCTGGAATTGCCCTCCCGAAGGGAGGCATTAACCACCACCTTCACCCACTCGGCCAATCCCCCTCTGGCCTCCTTCAGAAGCCAGGATGGGCAGGGGTCTAGGATGCATGTGGTAGCTCTCATTCCTCCAAGCACCTATTTACCATCATGGATCATCTTGTATGCCATTTCCCTGGTCGGACTCAGCGATTTCATATTTCTCCATATCTGGTTTGCTTCACTGATAATGATCTGGAAAAGAAATGAAAAACAATTATAATAGCCAGGAGCTGATGGGAGTTGCAGTCCAAGAAGAGGGTCCAATGGGGGCTTACCTGCTTCTCTTCTGGCTCCACCAGGACCTTTTCTCCCTGGTTGTTCTTGCGCCAGATGGGCGTGTGCTCCAAGGAGATGTCCTCGTCTGCGGAGGCGAAGAACTTGCCGAGGGTCTGCACGACCCCCTTGGCCCGGATGAACGGGGACTGCCCCTGGCGGTTCTGGAGGACGAAGCTGACCCAGTAGGAGGACAAGGAGCCCGCGTTGAGCTTGCGCAGCTGGCTGTAGCTGCAGGCGGAGGAGACAAACAGGAGCAGAGGGGAAATAGGCTTGAAAACCATGGTGTTTGTCATGCCCCCCACAGAGAGTTTATTTTATTTAATTGAGCCTCTCTTCATTAGAAGAATTAGGTTTTTTATCACATAGTTTATGGGCGGGAACAATAGGTAGCTCTTGTTGTATATCAGCCTGTTCAGCCTATGATTGTGTCTGATATTCATGTTAATATTCATGATGAGAATGAGGATGATGTTCATGTTGATGTTCATGAAGGGAACTGGGATGTTGTTTCAGTTCCTAATAAACCAATGCTTTGAAGGAACAGATGGGGAGCTCAGAATTTAACAGATATCCTCTCCCTTTCTGCCCTCTTTCCTGTGACCTTTATCTGGCTTTGTTTTCTCAAACTTTGACTGAGCCTCCCAAACCACAGACTGGAGGTTCTCCCAAACCTTTGATTGGAGTTTCCTAAAACTCAAACTTCTTAAATTGAGTTTCCTTAGATGTGAAAGATGTTGAAGCCTCTAGACTCCTGGCACCCTTAGACTAATCAACTGGCTGCAAAAGAATTGCTGAGGAGGACTGCAATCTCCGCCTCTGTCATAGATGTACGGTTTGAATGGAATTGTATGAAAGGTGTATGGTTATGGTCTATATAGTCTACAGATGCCATCCTAAGATTGAAGTCTGGAATACTACAGAAGGAAGTGAAGATTTATTGAACAGTAATTAAAAGTTGCTGAACTGTTGACGACCAGAGACAACTCAATTAACTGTTGAACTCTTGGTGGAAAACAACATGTTTGCATTACCAAAGACAATGGCTCTTTAAGTAAGGAAGTGTTTACAAGGTTCCTTACATGAAGAAGGAAGCAAACAAGGCTCCTTGAGAATCATAGAATCATTGAGTTGAAAGAGACCTCGTGGGCCATCCAGTCCAACCCCCTGCCAAGAAGCAGGAATATTGCACTCAAATCACCCCTGACAGATGGCCATCCAGCCTCTGTTTCAAAGCTTCCAAAGAAGGAGCCTCCACCACACTCCAGGGCAGAGAGTTCCACTGCTGAACGGCTCTCACAGTCAGTAAGTTCTTCCTCATGTTCAGATGGAATCTCCTTTCTTGTAGTTTGAAGCCACTGTTCCATTGCGTCCTAGTCTCCAGGGCAGCAGAAAGCAAGCTTGCTCTCTCCTCCCTATGACTTCCCCTCACATATTTATACATGGCTATCGTGTCTCATCTCAGCCTACTCTTCTTCAGGCTAAACATGCCCAGCTCTTTAAGCCGCTCCTCATAGGGCTTGTTCTCCAGACCCTGGATCATTTTAGTCGCCCTCCTCTGGACACATGCCAGCTTGTCAGGAAAAAAACCAATTATCACTTAAGGAAGGAAAGTCAACATCTGTCCAGGAACTGACAGGAATCAGCATTTTTCGGCTGGAAAAACCCCAGTCGGTTATTTACAAAAACAATTGGAAGAACAGCAAGAAATATTGCTATATAAGAGACTCTTTACTAATCCAAAAAATGTGGCAGACAGGAGGAGTGTGGTTCACCTGCCGATCTTCTCCAAGGTACTGAGGAAGATGGTGTATTCAGAGAATGGAAAATTTGCTGGGAACGAAATATGGTCTATTTTGGGGTCTCTTTTCCAGGAGAAGGAAGAAGATATGGTAATGTAAGAATGATGATGAATGAATGTGTATATATGTGAGAATGCTGAGTGAAAAGTAATTCCCATTGTTTGTGTACTCAATGTAGCTATAGAGTATGTGTGTCTACTTTCTTTCTCTGTATTGCTCTGTGTTATATTCTATCTAACTGCGAACCAAATAAAATATCCCTTTTAATGCTTTTTAATGTTTGAAAAGTACCCATGACACCTCATTGGGGGGGGGGGCATTCTTAAAGGGACAGGGCCTAATTAAGGTTCCCTCCTACAGAAAACTATACAAAAATAACAGAACCCATTCTATCTAAGGAGACAACTGAGGCTTGACAAAGACAACAATAAAAGCTTTTGTGGGGGCATGACAGAAGGTTCTAACAGATGAAAATCTGCTGCCATTTCACTGGGCATAATTGGGAAGCTGATCACTTACTGCTTGCCAACTTCTGCAAAAGCCAGAGAGTGGATCGTTTTGCAGGTCACGTTGGGAGGGAAGACCCGGGTTCCCTGCTCCGCGATGGTCTTGTTGAAGGCTAGGTACAGGAATCTCAGGTTGGCCCACTTCTCTGCGTATTTGACCAGCGTGGAAGTCTTCCCGGTGCCTGGAGGAGGATGGAGACAAAGGACCATTCAGCGGAGCAAGAGCCGCATCCAAAAAACACCCTTCTCCATTTCATGCTTTCTAGATAGGGTGTGTTACACAGCTCCCAACATCCTGAGGATGGTGGACAACACAGTCCAACCCACCTCTAAATTTTAGGTATGGAAAAGAAAGAGAGATGAAGATTGTTCCAGAAAGGTCTATAGGTCAGCAAGAGAGTTTGCAAAGCTGGACAACAAGTCAAACATGCGCCAACAATGTCATGTGGCAGCAAAACAAGCCAATGGGATTCTGACCTGCAGAAATAGGAGTCTAGTGTCTAGATCCAGGGAAGTCATGCTCCCATGCTCTATTCTGCCTTGGTTAGACCACACCTGGAGTCACACTGTATCCAATCCTGGACAACACAACTGAAAGGAAATGCTGTGTCTAAGCTGGAATGTGTCCAGAAGAGGGTGACTCAAAGGATCAAGGGTCTGGAGAACAAGCCCTATGAGGAGCAGCTTCAAGAGCTGGGCATGTTTAGCCTGCAGAAGAGAAGGCTGAGAGGAGAAATGATCAGGGACAGGGATCAAGAGGTGAGGCTAGGGAAGTCCTAGGGAGGAGGGAGCAGGCTTGATTTCTGCTGCCCTGGAGACTAGGACACAATGGAACAATGGCTTCGAACTACAGGAAAGGAGATTCCATCTGAACATGAGGAAGAACTTCCTGACTGTGAGAGCCGTTCAGCAGTGGAACTCTCTGCCCCGGAGTGTGGTGGAGGCTCTTTCTTTGGAAGCTTTTAAACAGAGGCTAGATAGCCATCTGTCAGGGTTGCTTTGAATGTATTTTTTCTGCTTCTTGGCAGAATGGGGTTGGACTGGATGGCCCATGTATTGCAAAGATGGATGCCACTGTGAATTGAAAATGCCATGCAGAAATGTTTAAATTTTGAGGCTGTGATTAAGTGAACTTGAAAAAGTAAGATAAGGTTTGTTCTTGCTGAGAACAGAAGCGAGTTGCCAGTCTCAGCAAGAGAAAATAAGCACATGTGCAGAAGCTTTCGGTTTTGACTAGTTCTTTGTTCTTTCTGAATTGTAGCTCGCTGTAGAAAGACGTGTCTGATATATGTACGTAGTAAACTTAGTTTCTTTTGTAACTCAAAGCCTGCAGAGTCCTTATTTGCAACTCAGTGTCTGTTTGATCTAGCATTCCTTCCGCTGGGTATCGTCAATCTCTGACAATTTGAACTATTTGGACTTTATTTGGACTGCATTTTGAAGACATTTTACTTTTTCAAGGACTACGAGATAACCAGGTAGCACTCCGACTTGTAATTTCTTTGTGTGGTTTATATGCAGTGTATTTACATGGTTTATGTTAACATAGTTCTGTTTGGATAACAATTTGCAACTTGTATTTTGACCTTAAAAACCTCCAGAGAAGGTGATTCCACCGGACTGCAAGGCAGAATGTTCCACTGCTGAACATCAGGAAGTTCTTCCTAATCTTTAGGTGGGATCTCTTTTCCTGCAGTTTGAATCCATTGCTCCAATCTGTCCTAATCTCTGGAGCACCAGAAAACAAACTTGCTCCCTTCTCCTCAATGGGACACTCTTTCAAATATTTAAACATGGCTCTCATGTCCCCTTCTCTGAGTTGTCTTCAATCCAAGCTAAACATGGCCAGCTACCTAAGCCATTCCTCAAAGGGTTCTGAACTTTGTGTACAGTCGACCTTCCACATGGATGCACCTGACTTTTGCAGATTTGATTACACTATGTAACAAAAATTTAAAAATTGTTCTGTTTCTGGTTTGAAAGTGTTATTTCCTGTTTAATTATGCAGGGGGTTGTGGAATTGACCTTGATTTTGGGAGTTGTAATTCACCTGCATACGGAGAGCACTGAAACCAGCCAAGATTGGATCTGGACCAAACTTGGCACACAGATGCAACATGACCAACTGTGTATACACGCCTGGTTTGGGGAGAATTGACCCACGGTTTTGGGAACTGTAGTTCACCCACATCCTTATGCATTTTCTAATCAGAGCATTCATTAAAAAAAAAACAAATCAAAAACTGGCTTTTTTTCTAATTGTGTTACTAATTAACTAAATGATATTACCTAACAGCTCAAAACAAACAATGCATTTTTTTCAGATAACCTGGGTAGAGAACCTAGTCTAGAGAAATAAAGGTTGCAGATGTTGTTACAGCAGGAGAAAGATTTGTATGAGGTCTCGGTGTGTTTCAAAGATGTCTTTTCTGGGGTGACAAAGCCTTACCTGCAAAAGCCATGATCTTCACAATCTGCTTTGGGACAATTGCGTGGTTTAAGATCTGCTGCTGTTCACAGGTGGGCTGGAAAGCAGGACAACTACTAAACGGAACCACAAGAAAAAGAGGACGTTGAAGTGAAGCAGATGGAGGCACAGTGGTTATTTATTTATTTATTTATTTAGCAGTTTTGTATCTCGGTCTTCTCACCTCCGTTCGAGGGACTCAGGCCGGTTTCCAACATCAATATTACAGACAGTCATTAAAACATCATATTCTAAATCACACTAAAACATTAAAATAGCAAAATACAATCATATAATTACAGTGGTCAGTCGTCATCAAAAATCATTATTCGTCGTCATCCATCCATATCACAGGATCATGGCTCATTCGTCGAATGCCAATCCCCAAAGCCAAGTTTTCACCTGTTTCCTGAACGTTAAGATAGAAGGGGCAGTTCTGATCTCCAGTGGAAGGGAGTTCCAGAGTCGAGGGGCCACCACCGAGAAGGCCCTGTCTCTCGTCCCCACCAGCCGCGCCTGTGAGGCCGGTGGGATCGAGAGCAGGGCCCCTCCAGACATCTTAGCAATCTTGATGGTTCATAGGGGAGGATACGTTCGGACAGGTAAATTGGGCCGGAGTCGTTTAGGGCTTTATAGGTTAAGACCAGCACTTTGAATTGTGCTCGGAAGCTGACTGGCAGCCAGTGGAGCTGGCGCAACAGAGGAGTAGTATGCTCCCTGTACCCCGCTCCCGTTAGTAGTCTAGCTGCCGCACTTTGGACTAATTGAAGCTTCAGAGGCAACCCCACATAGAGAACGTTGCAGTAATCTAAACGGGATGTAACCAAAGCGTGGACAACTGTGACCAAGTCAGACTTCCCAAGGTACGGGCGCAGCTGGCACACAAGTTTTAATTGTGCAAAAGCTCCCCTGACCAAACTGAAACCTGGGGTTCCAGGCTCAGCGATGAGTCCAGGATCACTCCCAAGCTGCGAACCTGTGCCTTCAGGGGGAGTGTAACCCCATCTAACACAGGCTGTAACCCTATGCCCTGTTCGGCCTTACTGACCAGGAGTACCTCTGTCTTGTCTGGATTTAGTTTCAATCTGTTGTCCCTCATCCAGTCCGTTACAGCGGCCAAGCACCGGTTCAGGACTTGAACAGCCTCCTTAGTAGCAGGTGGAAAGGAGTGACAGAGTTGGACATCATCTGCGTACAGATGACACCGCACCCCAAAACTCCGGTTAAACATTGGATTACAACTCTGGAGAGCCAGGTTCATGCCCTTAATCATCCATGGGAAACCACTGGTTGACCTTGGGTAAACTGCACATTCCCGGCCACAGAAAATCCCATGACAGGCTCATTTTAGTGCTTCAGTGTTAGTCCTGTCAACATAAGCACTACCAAACGTTTGCAAATAAATAAGATGACAATGTGCATTAAACAATTTGTCTTTTCTTCTTTTGACGTACATTATTAGTAAGTCAGTACCTGTTCTGAAAGCCTCTTCCGTCGCTGGGACTGGCTGTTTCTGGCTCAGCGAGAACAGGGGCACCGTTTGAATTTTCCAAGAGAAAAAGGCAGTAGAAAATATTATAGTGAGTCCTACAATGAGAAAGAATTTCAATCAGAAGGGGCTCCATAACACCATCTTGAACAATGGGTTGGAGGTGAAGGAAGGAAATAGGTTTTTTTCCTTTATTGATTTTCAGCCACTCCAGATTCCAAAATTTCTGGACAAAGAAAAAAAAAGGATGAACTATCTCTCCTGTAAGTCTCCAAGAACCACAATTCGCCTCTCAAAGAGGGTGTAGATCTGCCACTGAGATGGCATTCAGGGACAGTTCATGTTTGACGTGCTCTTGGGCCCAGAATAGCCCAGTTACCACCATTTCCCATTTGTACGACTTGGAAAAGTTCCTTTTCTTAAGCCTCAATTCCAGGAATCTGCTCCTGAAGACCATGCAGTCAAAGGACAGGCTCACCCTGGGATTATGATTCCCCCCCCCCTCAGGTTCCACCCATTCTCCCACTTTGTTTACTTTATTTCTATCCCAGTTTTCTCTACATAGGGACTTAAGGTGGCTAACAAGGACATGACACAATGCAATAGAATTTAAAAGGAAACCAAATACCATGCCCCCTTCTCTCAATCTTCTCTCCTCCAAGTTAAACATTCCCAGCTCCCTCCGCTGTTCCTCAGAGGGTTGGGTTTCCAACCACTTTGGTGGCCCTTCTCTGGACACGTCCCAACCAGACCCACCTGTTACTGACACGGATGTCGCTCTCCCGCATGGCGTAGAGCAGGGTCCCCATGCAGTAGAGTGCCTCCATGATATCCATGGAGGACAAGGCAGAGCTGGGTCTCCTGAGACAAGCCACCAGTTCTTGGATGTTGCGGACACTTCCAGAGAGAAGCACAATGGCAGCCATCGCCGCCCAAGAATAGGGTGCCTGGAGGGGACACAGAAAAGGTAAGCAACACGGGCCCAGTTCCAAAACCTGAAGCTGTATAGCAGGCATGAGCAAGTTTGGGCCCTCCAGGTGTTTTGGACTTCAAATCCCACAATTTCTAACTGGCTGTTAGGAATTGTGGGATTTGAAGTCCAAAACATCTGGAGAGCCCAAGTTTGCCCATGCCTGGGATAAGGCATCAAGTATGGCATTGTTTACAACACTGAACCTACTTCGGGCTTGGAGTCCTGCAGGTCAGGCAGCCTGTTTGCAATGCAGATCTCTGCTTTGGGGAAAAGGGGGTGGTTTTTCAAGCATTCCAGAATGGCCTCTGGGTCCCTGCAGCGATACTGCTTGATGGAAGCAACACATCTGTGTGGAAATCAAAAGAGAAGACAGGACCAGGTCAGACTCGTTTAAGACAGCTGCTTTCTTGTGGACAGAAAAAGTGGGGTACAAATAAACATAATCATCATCATCATCATCATCATCATCATCATCATCCATATATATATATATGCTCTGTGCATAATGAGTACCTTAAAAACAAAAGAACCAATGAACAAAATCACACCACATTTGGCAACCAAATGTCTCACTATACAAGGAGTGACCATCAATCAAAAAATCATGATTTTGCCATTTGGGAGTTGTAGTTGTTGGGATTTATAGTTCACCTACAATCAAAGAGCATTCTGAACTCCACCAACAATGGAATTGAACCAAACTTGGCACACAGAACTCCCATGACCAACAGAAAATACTGGAAGGGTTTGGTGGGCATTGACCTTGAGTTTTGGAGTTGTAGTTCACCTCCATCCAGGGAACACTGTGGACTCAAACAATGATGGATCTGGAACAAACTTGACAGGAATACTCAATATGCCCAAATGTGAACACAGATGGAGTTTGGGGGAAATAGACCTTGACATTTGGGAGTTGTAGTTACTAGGATGTATAGTTCACCTACAATCAAAGAGCATTCAACCCCACCAATGATGGAATTGGGCCAAACATCCCACACAGAACCCCCTTGACCAACAGAAAATACTGTGTTTTCTGGTGGTCTTTGGTGACCCTTCTGACACTCCCCTGGTGACCCTCCCCCAGGTCTTGACTTCCCAGGTTGAGGAATGCTGCCTTAAGGCCATCCAGTCCAACTCCCTTCACCAGGGCAAGAAAACATAATCAAAGCCCTCCTGACAAAGGGCCATCCAGCCATTCACACACACACACACACATGTATATGACAGATGCAGTATCAAAGATTTGAAAGGGACCCCTAAAGAAGGACAATGATCTGTCACATGTTCCAGAGGAGGCAAACCAGACAGTCTCCACATCAACACTGGCAAAGAAACAGCAAGAAATACTGTTTACCCACAAGCAGAAAGAAATTACATATATTAGAAACAACACTTTCTCATTACTTTATTTTCCAGATCACCAGACTGGGCCACAGCAACACGTGGCAGGGGACAGCTAGTAATAATAGTAGTAATAATAATAATAATCATCATCATCATCATCTGGGATTTTAGAATCCAAAACAGATAAACACCTAGAATCATAGAATCAAGGAGTTGGAAGAGACCTCATGGGCCATCCAGTCCAACCCCATTCTGCCAAGAAGCAGGAATATTGCATTCAAAGCACCCCTGACAGATGGCCATCCAGCCTCTGTTTAAAAGCCTTCAAAGAAGGAGCCTCCACCACACTCCGGCAGAGAGTTCCACTGCTGAACGGCTCTCACAGTCAGGAAGTTCTTCCTCATGTTCAGATGGAATCTCCTCTCTTGTAGTTTGAAGCCATTGTTCCGCGTCCTAGTCTCCAGGGAAGCAGAACACAAGCTTGCTCCCTCCTCCCTGTGGCTTCCTCTCACATATTTATACATGGCTATCATATCTCCTCTCAGCCTTCTCTTCTTCAGGCTAAACATGCCCAGCTCCTTAAGCCGCTCCTCATAGGGCTTGTTCTCCAGACCCTTGATCATTTTAGTCGCCCTCCTCTGGACACATTCCAGCTTGTCAACATCTCTCTTGAATTGTGGTGCCCAGAATTGGACACAATATTCCAGGTGTGGTCTAACCAAAGCGGAATAGAGGGGTAGCATAACACACCAGATATAATAGTTGTGGAAAAGAAACATGTTTTTATTATAGGCCAGGAGACAGTAGAGACAAAGAGCTGGAAAAGATCACTAAATACAAGGCCTGTGAATATGTATATTCAGATGTCTGACTGTAAGACCCAGTGAGAGGCGTCTCTGATTTATATTCTGTCTCAAAGAGGTTCATAAAACAGCAAATTCTGCCCTTCCCATATTTTCAGGGATCCCATTTGAGAAGCGTGACCTACCGGATGAATCCCAGCATGCACTGGTCCTGGTCTTTGCTCAGGTGGTACCGCTGCAGAATTGTTTTGATGGTCAACAGCGCTTCGGGTTGGGACTTCAGGTACTGATGGTACAGCTTTTTCCATGGAATGAACTGAAAAGCCAAATATAGAGGTCTCCAAAACCGAACAGAAACTGGACTCCCATATCACCAGAATTGCAAACAATCTACTGGGATTGTTATGCATAATCCAAAATGAAGTGAAGGATGCATGTATAACAGATAGGGGCAAACCCAGGCTTCTACCACTGAGGATGCTTGCCATAGATGCAGGCGAAACGTAAGGAGAGAATGCCTCCAGAACATGGCCATATAGCCCAAAAAAAACTACAACAACCCTGTGATTCCAGCCATGAAAGCCTTCGACAATACTATTTTAACTGTTATAGCTCCACGCTATGGAGTCCTGGGAGATGGAGTTTGGTTGAGGCACCACTCTTGGGCAGAGAATGTAAGACCCTTGCAAAACTACAACTCTCGTGATTCCATAATACTAAGCCATGGCCTTAATCGGTTTCAAAGCAGATAATTTTTTAAGATCTTCAGGAGAGGCCCTGCTCTCGATCGAACCACCATCGCAAAAGCAGTTGGTGGGGATGAGACAGGGCCTTCTTGGTAGTGGCCCCCCATCTGTGGAACTCTCTGCCCAGGTACATCAGGTTGGCCACCTCCCTCCTGTCCTTTAGAGGAAAACTGAAGACTTGGCTTTGGGACCAGGCATTCGATTAGTGGACAGCAGCAATTGGAAAGAAGACTTGGATACTGCGACACTGAATTAACTCCAGACTTGGTTTTGATTTTAACCGGCGTGAATAATCTATTGTTTTAATGAATTGTTTTAATGTTTTAAGGTATTTGTTGACTATTTGTATGATGATCGCAGCATATGGTGCTTATGTGAGCCCGCCCTGAGTCCCCCCTTGGGGGAAGAAGGGCGGGGTAAACATGTATGAAATAAATAAATAAAATAAATCTGGATTTTCTATGGCAGTTCAGAAGGGGCCTGTGTTGAGCCATGATGAGAGGAGAGTAACTAATAATCATAGAATCATAGAATCAAAGAGTTGGAAGAGACCTCCTGGGCCATCCAGTCCAACCCCATTCTGCCAAGAAGCAGGAATATTGCATTCAAATCACCCCTGACAGATGGCCATCCAGCCTCTGTTTAAAAGCTTCCAAAGAAGGAGCCTCCACCACACTCCAGGGCAGAGAGTTCCACTGCTGAACGGCTCTCACAGTCAGGAAGTTCTTCCTAATGTTCAGATGGAATCTCCTCTCTTGTAGTTTGAAGCCATTGTTCCATTACGTCCTAGTCTCCAAGGAAGCAGAAAACAAGCTTGCTCCCTCCTCCTTGTGGCTTCCTCTCACATATTTATACATGGCTATCATATCTCCTCTCAGCCTTCTCTTCTTCAGGCTAAACATGCCCGGCTCCTTAAGCCACTCCTCATAGGGCTTGTTCTCCAGACCCTTGATCATTTTAGTCGCCCTCCTCTGGACACATTCCAGCTTGTCAATATCTCTCTTGAATTGTGGTGCCCAGAGTTGGACACAATATTCCAGGTGTGGTCTAACCAGAGCAGAATAGAGGAGTAGCATTACTTCGCTAGATCTAGACACTAGACTCCTATTGATGCAGGCCAAAATCCCATTGGCCTTTTTTGCCGCCACATCTCATTGTTGGCTCATGTTTAACTTGTTGTCCACGAGGACTCCAAGATCTTTTTCACACGTACTGCTCTCGAGCCAGGCATTGTCCCCCATTCTGTATCTTGCATTTCATTGTTTTTCCTGCCAAAGTGGAGTATCTTGCATTTGTCACTGTTGAACTTCATTTTGTTAGTTTTGGCCCATCTCTCTAATCTGTCAAGATCGTTTTGAATCCTGCTCCTGTCCTCTGGAGTATTGGCTATCCCTCCCAGTTTGGTGTCGTCTGCAAACTTGATGATCCTGCCTTCTAACCCTTCATCTAAGTCATTAATAAAGAATCAATCATTAGACATGACCGTTGCCTTGTGCAAAGTGTTCTGGAATGGATGCCTTCCAGGTGTGTTTTAATCCCAACTTCTCAAAACTTCCTAGATAATTTTAGTAAGGAGAGAGTCAGGCCGGGAAAAAGAAAAGGGTCTCCCCATATGGACCACAGCCTGACCACTGCCCACCCCGACATAACACAGCGCTCACTTGATGGTCAGCGATGATCCGCCACCAGCGTTGACACACCAGGCTGAGGCTCTGGAAGAGATCCGTGGCCGGAACAAGGGCGAAGATCTCCTGGAGGACTTCGTCCGGCAGCTGATCGATGCTTCCTTGCGGCACTTCCCAAGATGCGGTCCCCAAGAGCCCAAAACACGCGTCCGGAAGCGGGTCGACCTCTGTGTCGTCAACTTCCTCCTTGATGCTTCCATCACCCAGAGGGCACTCAAGAAGCCCCTCCAGCATGGATTGATCATCATCCTGTTCCCACTGGTCACCATTATAGGCAGTCCGTGGGCGTTTGCTAGGAACGACTAGCTCCTCGTAGCTTTCCAAAAGAGAGCACGAATCCTCATCTTGAGCCAAGGGGGGGTCCACAGTTTCCTCCGTTTTGATTTTGTTGCTCGCCGACATGCTACCTGAGCATTGCGAGGGGTGAGGCTTCTTGCGGAAGTAGTCGGTGATGAGACGGTACTGACCTGCTCCTTCAACACAAAAAGACAGATAGACATAAAATTATAGCAAAATTCCGGGTTATTGTTATGTACAACAACAACAACAACTTACCGTATATACTCAAGTATAAGCCGACCCAAATATAAGCCGAGGCACCTAATTTTACCATTAAAAAACTGGGAAAATGTAGTGATTCAAGTATAAGCCGAGAATGAGAAATGCAGCTGCTACTAGTAAATTTCAAAATAAAGTTACATTAATTGAGGCATCAGTAGGTTAAATGTGTTTGAATATTTACATAAAACTGTAGTTTAAGATTAGACTGTCCAACTCTGGTTAAACCATTATTCTAACCTTCTTCAATGTAAATGTGCTTATGTATCCTTCCAATAATAATCAAGAGAATAAAATAATAAATGTAATAAAATAATAATAGAGTAAAATAATGGAAATGTAGTAATAACAGTAATGATAGAGTGAAAGAATAACTGTAATGACATCAATAACAAAGTGAAATAATAAATGTAATAACAATAATAATAAAGTAATGGAAATGTAGTAATAACAGTAATAATAGAGTGAAAGAATAACTGTAATGACATCAAAAATAAAGTGAAATAATGTAATAATAACAATAATAATAGTTAAATTATAAATAATAATAATAATAATCGCAGAGTAAAATGATAAATAACCAAACCCTTCCAGTATTTTCTCTTGGTCATGGGAGTTCTGTGTGCCAAGATTGATTCAATTCAATCATTAGTGGAGTTCAGAATACTCTTTGATTGTAGGTGAACTATAAACTAGCAACTACAACTCCCAAATGACAAAATCAATCCCCCCCAACCCCACCAGTATTCAGACAGGCTTTTAAAGAAGAAGGTTTTAAAGATCAATTCTGTTTTTAACTTTGAATGTGTTTTAATGGTTTTTAATATGTTTTAATGGTTTTAAAAGAAGATTTTAAAGATCAATTCTGTTTTTAACTTTGAATATGTTTTAATGGTTTTTAATTGGTAATTTTGTAATACTTAATCCCAATCTGATGTGTCTATTGGTATCTACATATAATTGTATGCTTTTATGTTTAGCCGCTTTGAATCTCCTTCAGGTGAGCTAAAGAGGAGTAACAATAAATAAATATTCTAATAATAAAAATATATCAGATTTCATAATTTTGAATAAAATGTGCTCAATTTGTACATACTTAATGAGTCACAGTTTGGCCCTTCGTATTCAGAGACTCTATGCACAGATTCAATCATTCACTGCTTGAAAATACCCCCCTCCCCCCAAAAAATCCAAAATGCTGGGCTATTGTTATTGTTATCTGCTATTATCACTTTGATTGAGATGTTAAGTGGCTAAGGCAGGCACAGGCAAATTTGGGCCCTCCAGGTGTTTTGGACTCCAACTCCCACAATTCCTAACAACCGGTAAGCTGTTAGGAATGGTGGGAATTGGAGTCCAAAACACCTGGAGGGCCCAAGTTTGCCGTGCCTGGGCAAAAGTATTGGAAAAACATTCCATGACTTCTGCATGAAATTGGTTGTAATTGCATGCAAAGAAAACCAGATGTGCTTGTTTCATATTTCCGCCAAATGGTCTGGTCTGGTACCTTTGGGATGCTTCTTGGTCCGGCAATTGGGATAGAGGCCTCTGTTTGGATCTCGGCTGCTTCTTTGCCTTTGGCTAAAAGGCTGCGTCAACGACGAGGTGCCTTCCCTGCTCTCGATCAAAGCTCTGCAGTCGGCACTGGTCAAGTGGCGTTGCTTAAAACGGCTCACTGCGGTCGACAAAAGTAAGAAACCAAATTAGTTTAATTCAGATTGTGGGTCGCAGAGAACAGTAAACACTTTGTAAAACTATTAGCTCTCAAGATTCGATGGCATTCAGCCATGGCAACGAGCCCCAAGTGGTGTAGTGTGTTAAACCCTTGTGCCAGCAGCATTGAAGACCAACAGGTCAGAGGTTCAAATCTGGGGAGAGCGGGGATGAGCTCCCTCTATCAGCTCCGGCTCCCCGTTTGGAGACATGAGAGAAGCCTCCCACAAGGATGGAAAAACATCAAAAATGTCTGGGCTTCCCCTGGGCAACGTCCTTGCAGATGGCCAATTCTCTCACACCAGAAGCGACCTGCAGTTTCTCAAGTTGCTCTTGACACACACAAAAAAGCCATGGCAATTAAAGTGATGTCAAACTGCATTAAAGTTACAGTGTAAATGCACCTAATTTGTTGTCACTAGGGCCAGGCTTTAGCACAGCAGGTTAACCGCCAGCTGCTTGCCAATTGAAAGGTTGACAGTTTGAAGTCAGGGTCAGGGTGAGGTCCTGGCCTTTAGCCCAGTTTCTACCTACCTAGGAATTTTGAAAACAGCAAGGTGAGTAGATTAATAAGTACCACTTAATACATATGTCTTACATTATTTATATTAGTTATAATACACAAATAGACACACAATATAATAATAGTATGATGCTTCCTTCTCTCTATATATATGTATACACACACAATTAATATAAATAATAGACATGTCTAACATTATTTATATTAATTATAATACAAACACACATATATATACACACAACGTAATAATAATATGATGCTTTCTTCTCTAAATATATATGTATAATTAATATATGTAATTAATATAAATAATACACATCTTACATTATTTATATTAATTATAATACAGACACACATATATACACACAATGTAATAATAGTATGATGCTCATCTCTCTCTCTAGATATATAATTAATATAAATAATAGACAAGTCTTACATTATTTATATTAATTATAATACACACACATATATATACACCCACAATGTAATAATAATATGATGCTTTCTTCTCTAAATATAAACATATAATATGTATAATATAAATAATACACGTTTTACATTATTTACATTAATTATAATACACACACATATATACACACAATGTAATAATAATATGATGTTTCTTCTCTAAATATATATGTATAATTAATATATATAGTTAATATAAATAAAACACGTTACATTATTTATATTTATTATAATACACACACACATACACACACACGATATAATAATAGTATGATGCTCCTTCTCTAAATATATATATAATTAATATAAATATTACATATCTTACATTATTTATATTAATTATAACACACATATATACAAACACAATATAATAATAGTATGATGCTTCCATCTCTAAATGTGTGTGTGTGTATATATATAATTAATATAAATAATAGACATGTCTTACATTATTTATATTTATTATAATACACACACATGATATAATAACAGTATGATGTTCCTTCTCTAAATATATATATAATTAATATATAATTAATATAAATATTACATGTCTTACATTATTTATATTAATTATAATACAGACACACACATATACACACAATGTAATAATAGTATGATGCTCATCTCTCTCTCTACATATATATATAATTAATATATATAATATAAACAATAGACACGTCTTACATTATTTATATTAATTATAATACACACAAATATTCCATCTCTAAATATATAGATATAGATAGATATAGATAATTAATTAATATATATTATAAATAATAGACCTGTCTTACATTATTTATATTAATTATAATACACACACATATATACACACAATATAATAATAGTATGATGCTTCCATCTCTAAATATATAGATATAGATATAGCTAGATATAGATAATTAATTAATATATATTATAAATAATAGACCTGTCTTACATTATTTATATTAATTATAATACACACACATATATACACACACAATATAATAATAGTATGATGCTTCCATCTCTAAATATATAGATATAGATATAGCTAGATATAGATAATTAATTAATATATATTATAAATAATAGACCTGTCTTACATTATTTATATTAATTATAATACACACACATATATACACACACAATATAATAATAGTATGATGCTTCCATCTCTAAATATATAGATATAGATATAGCTAGATATAGATAATTAATTAATATATATTATAAATAATAGACCTGTCTTACATTATTTATATTAATTATAATACACACACATATATACACACACAATATAATAATAGTATGATGCTTTCTTCTCTAAATGTAAATGCTTTCTTCTCTAAATGTGTGTATATATATATATATGTGTGTGTGAACACCCTCCCTATAGAGATACGATCAGCCCCTTCGCTGATGGTGTTTCGGAAGAGATTAAAAACATGGTTGTGTAAACAAGCATTCGGTTAGTTTGTTATCACCGAATTTTATGGACTAAGGACTGGTTAATTATGGATGACGAATTCTGGACTGTGATTTTAGTGACGAGATACATGGTATTATTATTGGTGGCCCAATAATTTGTATTGTCTATGTGTTGTTGTTTTAAATTGTATATTGTTTTTAATGGTTGTAAACCGCAATGAGTCGCCGACTTAGGCTGAGATATTAGCGGTATACAAGTGTATAAATAAATAAATAAATAAGTATATATATATACACACACATTATTTCTATTAATTATAATACACACACAATATACTACCTACCAATAATAATAATAATGGATATTCAACCTGTAATAGCAAAACTGGAAAGTGAAATTAAGTAAACAGAATAAAAAATAAATAAAACTGTCCCCTTCATATCCTTTGCTTGAATAATTCCAATGATTTTAAATAACTCACCTAAAAGTTAGGAATAACTCTGAATTATTGGCAGCAGGCTCCTAAAAATACCCAGATCCCAATAATTCAAGACAATTAACCATCAAGTCATAATGAATAACTAATCACTAAGCAATTAAGGCCTGGAGCAGCCTCTCCTTTTCCTTCCTACTTACTCTGATCTTGCAGCAAATCAACACTTCCTCTTTTGCGCGCTCACCCTAACTTGTTTCTACTCCTCCTCCTTGGCAACGAAACCCTATTGACGCTCTGCAATGGAGAGGCCCCGCCCACAGGCTCTGATTGACATTCCCATTAACCTATCCCAAGTGCAATTCCCAGGTTTCCGATGAAGCTGGGACGAATGACGCGTTCTGTTCCCGGTTTCCGGTATAGAAGTTGTCCACCCAGCCTTTGGGACTTCATTTCCCAGAATTCCTCGCCATTGGCCAAGCTAGCTTTGAATTCTGGGAGTTGAAGTCCAAAACAACTAGAGGCCCAAGGAAGGCAGCTAGTGATGTGTTGGGTAAGGATAATAGAAGTACTGTGTATAGATTGTAGCCCAGGCCTGGGCCAACTGGGTCCCTCCAGGTATTTTGGACTTACTTGCTTACTTAGGAGCCTGAGGATGATGGTCCTCCAAGTCTGATGTCTTGGTGGTGGGTCCAAGTCTGGTGTCTAGGTGGATGTGGGGCCTCTTCGAATTCTGCAGCACTGCTGGTCACAGCTGACCTCCAGGTAGAGCGCTGGAGGGCCAGGGCTGTCTATGCCACAATTTTTAAGGTTGGCTTTAAGCCCGTCTTTAAATCTCTTTTCCTGTCCAACAACATTACATTTCCTGTTCTTGAGTTGGGAGTATATTTATTTACGACATTTATAGGCCGCCCTTCTCACCCCAAAGGGGACTCAGAGCAGCTTATAAGTAATATTTAAATACACTATATTATTACCATAGCACAATATTAGTATTATATATTCCTATATTGTACTAGTATTATTAGTAATATTACATGTAATATAAAATATATAATTATAATATCGTATTATTGCTAGTAGTATTATATTGTATTAAGGTAAAGGTTTTCCCCTGACATAAAGTCCAGTCGTGTCTGACTCCAGGGTGTGGTGCTCATCTCCATTTTGAAGCCGAAGAGCCGTCGTTGTCCGTAGACACCTCCAAGGTCATGTGGCCAGCATGACTGCATGGAGCACTGTTACCTTCCCCGCCAGAGCAATACCTATCGATCTACTCACATTTGCATGTTTTTGAACTGTTAGGTTGGCAGAAGCTGGGGCTCACAGCAGAAGCTCACGCCATTCCCCGGATTCGAAGTTGTGACCAAGCTTAGCAGCTTAACCCACTGTGCCACTGGGGCTCCAATTATATTGTATTGTTGTTGTTCATTCATTCAGTTGCTTCCGACTCTTTGTGACCTCATGGACCAGCCCACGCCAGAGCTCCCTGTCGGCCATCACCATCCTCAACTCCATATGTGTATACAATATGTTATATTATATTATTAGCACAGTGCAGGAGACAAGGTGCTGGGGAAGAGGAATGACACAGGAGACAAGATGGATCTGTTTTCCTGGCCCCTCTCTTCACTCTGGTCCCAGAGCAGCAGTCAGTATAGTAACTGATTTGGGAGATGGTGATCGGGCGTTCAGACAACATGGTCTTCAGTTGATGGCGTAGGGCCATTGCTTCAATCCTGGTGGTCTTTGCTTCTTCCAGCACACTGACATTTGTCCACCTGTCTACCCAAGAGATTTGCAGGATTTTTCAGAGGCAACACTGATGGAATCATTCCAGGAGTTGAATGTGACGTCTGTATACAGTCCACATTTCGCAGGCGTATAGCAGGGTTGAGAGGACAATAGCTTTATAAACAAGCACCTTGGTCTCTGTACGGATGTCCCGGTCCTCAAACACGCTCTGCTTCATTTGGAGGAATGCTGCACTTGCAGAGCTCAGGTGGTGTTGTATTTCAGTGTCAATGTTGACTTTGGTGGAGAGGTGGCTGCCAAGGGAGCGGAAATGGTCAACATTTTAAAATATTACACCATTAAGCCATATTTCTGGCATTGGAGAGGGATTGGCTGGTGACTGCTGGAAGAGCACTTCGGTTTTATCGATGTTTAATTACAAGCAGAGCTGCTCATATGCTTCTGCGAAGGTGTTTAGAGTGGCTTGCAGGTCTTCTTCTGAATGCGTACAGACGACGTTGTCATCAGCATACTGGAGTTCTATAATAGATGTTGTTGCACAATCACAACCGATTCTGATAACTGGCAGATATAGGTATTGATGCCCACCTGAACATTAGAGAAAACATCCTGATAGTAAGAAGAGCTATTCAGGAGTGGAACTCTTCCTTGGAGTGTAGTGTAAGCTCCTTCCTTGGAGGCTGGATGGCCATCTTTCAGTGTGCTTTGATTGTGCTTTTCCTGCACAGAAGAAGGGGGTTGGTCTAGATGGCCCATGTGGTCTCTTCCAACTCTATAATTCTATGATTCTAAATAATAATAATAATAATAATAAATAAATAATTGTTTTTATTCTACAGATCCTTTGACCAACCACAATGATGGCTGAAGGGGAGCTCCAGAAAGCTCTTCCTAGGTTGGTTCAAGAAGGGAAGCTCCCCTTGCTTCAAGAAGAAATGGAAAGCATAGAGGGCCTGAGCCAGGAGGTGCGGAGGAAGCACTTTGGCCGGTCGGGGGACACTTTGCTCCACTACGCCACCCGGCACGGCCACCTCAGCATCGTCCGGTACTTAGTCGAGACCTTGGGAATGGACCTTGAGGTGTTCAACAATGATTACAAGCGTCCCCTCCACGAAGTGGCTTCCATGGGACACCGGGACTGTGTCTTGTACCTGCTGAACCGAGGGGCTGCTGTTGACTGCCTGAAGAAATCAGACTGGTACGTTATCTCCTATTACAGTGTTTCTCAACCTAGGGGTCGGGACCCCTGAGCGGGTCACGAAGGGGTATCAGAGGGGTCACCAAAGACTATCAGAAATCAGTATTTTTTGTTGGTCATGGGGATTCTGTGTGAGAAGTTTGGCCCAATTCTATCACTGGTGGGATTCAGAATGCTCTTTGATTGTAGGTGTACTATAAATCCCAGCAACTACAACTCCCAGATTTTCCCCAAACTCCACCAGTGTTCACATTTGAGCATATTGAGTATTCGTGCCAAGTTTGGTCCAGATCCAGCATTGTGTGAGTCCACAGTGCTCACTGGATATCGGTGAACTACAACTCCAAAACTCAAGGTCAATGCCCACCAAACCCTTCCAGTATTTTCTCTTGGTTGTGGGAGTTCTGTGTGCCAAGACTGGTCCAATTCTATTGTTGGTGAAGTTCAGAATGCTCTTTAATTGTACGTGAACTATAAATCCCAGCAACTTGATCTACTCACATGTTTTTGAACTGCTAGGTTGGCAGAAGTTGGACCTAACTCCGCTCCCTGGATTCAAATTGCTGATCTTTTGGTCAGCAAGTTCAGCAGCTCAGCGGTTTAACCCTCTGCGCCACCAGGAGACCCAAGACGGACTATAAAATATTGAATTCTAGATCCAGGGAAGTCATGCTCCCCATGCTCTATTCCGCCTTGGTTAGACCACACCTGGAATGTTGTGACCAATTCTGGGCACCATAATTGAAGAGAGATATTGACAAGCTGGAATGTGTCCAGAGGAGGGCGACTAAAATGATCTGGAGAACAAGCCCTATGAGGAGCGGCTTAAAGAGCTGGGCATGTTTAGCCTGAAGAAAAGAAGGCTGAGAGGAGACATGATGAGGGCCATGGATCAATATGTGAAGGGAAGAGTGAAGGAAAAGAGAGAAATGAAGGAAAAATCAGAAGACGTAAGAAAGGGGGAATGTAGGTAAAAGAAGAAGTAAAAGAACAGAAGAACAGAAGATAAAAGGAAAGAAAAAGGAAACTACTGATGCTCGCAAATAGAAATAGGAAAAATTCGGAAGAACCGATTAAGTGTATTTGTAGAATATCATGATAGAGAAGAATGGAAGTCTTTACAATTCACTTGTTGCCATTTGTCTTGGCTGGTGTCTTTTGTATGCTGTTTATTGCTTCTCTCTCTCTCTTTTTTTTTCTTTCTTCCTTTTTTTTCTCTTTTCTTTCCTATTTTAACATCCGTGATTTTAATATTGTACTTTTGAAAACTTAATAAAAACTATTTATTAAAAAAATATGTGAGAGGAAGCCACAGGGAGGAGGGAGCAGGCTTGTTTTCTGCTGCCCTGGAGACTCAAACGCAGTGGAGGAATGGCTTCAAACTACAAGAGAGGAGATTCCACCTGAACATGAGGAAGAACTTCATGACTGTGAGAGCCGTTCAGCAGTGGAACTCTCTGCCCCGGAGTGTGGTGGAGGCTCCTTCTTTGGAAGCTTTTAAACAGAGGCTGGATGGCCATCTGTCAGGGGTGCTTTGAGTGCAATATTCCTGCTTCTTGGCAGAATGGGGTTAGATTGGATGGTCCATGAGGTCTCTTCCAACTCTTTGATTCTATGATTCTATGCATGTTTAGCCTGCAGAAGGGAAGACTGAGAGGAGACATGATAGCCATGTAGAAATATGTGAGGGAAAGTCCTAGGGAGGAGGGAGCAAGCTTGTTTTCTGCTTCCCTGGAGACTAGGACGCAATGGAACAATGGCTTCAAACTACAAAAAAGGAGATTCCACCTGAACATGAGGAAGAATTTCCTAACTGTGAGAGCCGTTCAGCAGTGGAACTCTCTGCCCTGGAGTGTGGTGGAGGCTCCTTCTTTGGAAGCTTTTAAATAGAGGCTGGATGGCCATCTGTCGGTGGTACTTTAAAGGCAATTTTCCTGCTTCTGGCAGGGGTTTGGACTGGATGGCCCATGAGGTCCCCTCCAACTCTTTGATTCTATGAATGTAAGGTATCGAAAAACATTCTTTACCCCTGATAATTAACTTCTCCTTCTAGGACGCCCCTCATGATGGCTTGCACAAGGAGGAACCTGGAGGTCATCCAAGACCTCGTCCAGCATGGAGCAAACCCCTTGCTGAAAAACAAAGATGGCTGGAACTGTTTCCACATTGCTTGCCGAGAAGGGGATCCCCGGGTGATCCTGTACTTGCTCGATGTCTCTCCTGACATCTGGGAGACAGAAAGCAAGATCCGAAGGACCCCTCTGCACACAGCAGGTAGGACCTGGGTTGTATGATCCAACAAATGAGGCAACCACCACCTTAATATTAATTTTTTTAATGGGATTAAATGTTTACTTTTAAGATGTTTTATTATATTTTAATTCAATTGTTTAATTGATTGTTTGATATGTCATCAGCCCACTTTGGTTGGGATTGAATGTTTGCTTTTAAGCTTTTTATTGGATTTATATTTGAATTGTTCAATTGATATGTCGTGTTTATTACTGTATGTTTAAATTGATATGCTATTTGTTTAAATTGATATATCATGTTTATTTTTATATGTGTAGTGCGGCATTGGGGTGAGAAGGGCAGGGTATAAATGTAGAATAATAATAATAATAATAAGCAGGGGATTAATATTATGTGTGTGAATGGACTGTAAACAAAGACCTCCATGTGAAAGGGGTCTTAGCAGACCACAAGCTGAGCGAAAACTAAGAAAGCCATGTGATTCTAGGCTGCATCAAAAGAAGTATAGTGTCAAGATCGAGGGAAGTCATAGTTGCACTCTGTTCTATTTGGTTATGCATTTCCTGAAATAATATAATGTCCAGTTCTGGGCAAAGCAATTCAAGAAGGAGAAGGATTGGACATGTGTCCAGTGAAAGGCAACCAAGGTCTGGGAGCCATGAATCTCTCTGAAAAATAGCTGAGGGATCTAGGTCTGTTTACCTTGGAGAAAACAGAGTTAAGAGAAGGGGGCGTGCAAGCCATGTTTATATATTGGACAGGGGGTGCCACTGAGGGGCGGGAAACCGAATTTCTGCTGCTCTGGATTCAAATTGCAAGAAAAGCAATTCCACATAAACGTTACGAAGATGTTCCTAACAGTCAGTGCTGTCCATTTATTTATTTAGTTGCAGTTTTTATATTCCACCCTTCTCATCTGCAGGGGACTCAAGGTGGATTACAATGTACATATACATGGCAGACATTCAATGCCATAGACAAACAACATATATAGGCAGACACACAGAGGCTATTTAACATTCCAGCTTCATAAGGGTATGCTCGAATT